AGGCACCCAAGCCCTGGTGGTACCCACTGGCCAGAGCATCTCTCTGGGGTTGCAAGGGAGCTGAGCTGCTCAGGGAGATGGTGGTCCTGGGCAGCAGGGACCCCAGGCTGGTGTGACATACCCGATGACTGGCATGCAGCCACAGGACTGTGCCCTCCTCAGGGGACTGGAGGCACCCTGGGAGGGGGAGACCCTCATGGCCAGCTAGCACCTACTGCTCCTTCATGCCCTGTTGTTCCCTCAGGCCAATGTTCCCCTGGGCTGGCATTGGTGCGTGGTGACCTTGCTCATAAGACAGCGTGGGTGACAAGCACAGCTTTGTTCACCCCACACTGCAGTGCAGGACAACAGCCCTGTTCTCCTCGCAGTGTCCCCAGCTGTAGCATTAGGTGCTGAGCTCCCTGCCCCAGAAGTCCCAGCACAGCAGCTCAGAGGTGCACTGGGGACATGGGGCTGCCCCATACAGCCAGGGCAGGGCAGCCTTACAGTCAGGGCACACACCTGTGCTTTAGGTGCTCTAGATCCTTCCTTGCTTTTCCCCTGCATGGCTGATGTCCCCTTGCTCTACTCCAGCTGAAGGATATCCTGAACCACATTGCAGCCCAAAAGGTTCTTGTCATGAAATATTGTAAGAAGACTCAACTAGAAAACTATCTGCAACAAAATTGATGTTAGTTCCTCACCCCAAAATATCAGCTCCCAGCCTCTGCTCAGAGCCCAGACTTGGCTCTCTTCTCCCAAGATGCTGAAGACCAGCCAGATCACACCATAGCTTCCCTCATACTCTCTCCCTACCAGGAGCAGCCCTACAGAAAAGCTGTGCTAGGGCCTGAGGGCACTTACATGGCTTCCTGGCCCTGAGCAGCCTCACCTGTGACCCCCACCCACACAGCCCTGGGACCCTATTTAAGCACAGCCCTGGCCTCACCTCAGGCACTACTTCTCCTCTCCTGTTCCACCATGGGCTGCACCCTAGGAGGGAGGTACTGTGTCCTGGTCTTTCCTGGTGCCTGTTTCATTCACTATGGAGGTGCATCCAGGTTTTATTGTATCCTTGCAACCTCCTTAGCTAGGGCAGGAGCTGGAGAGCCAGGGGGCTGGGATTGCTTGGGCTGAGAGCTGTAGCCTTAGCTCTGCTCCTGGAGCAAGGCTGGATGGGTCACTGATAGATGCTCTGCCACAAGCTGCACTTGGCTGGTTGGGCACTTCTCTTCATCTAAAGTTGCTGTTTCTATGCAGACAGCTTGGAGGGCTCCAGCCTTTGCTGCTGCCTCTCCACTGTGGACCTTGCTGAATTTGGGGCCCGTGTGCCCATGGCTGGGTCTATCTATCTCTACAGCTGCAGGACAGTGGGTGAGCTGTGGGTGTTCATTGCTGAGTGGAATCTGCTCCTGTCCTATGTCATTGGTATAAGGCCCTTTTGATGCCCCCACTTTTGCTTTGTGTTGGTGGCTTTGCTGGTTGTCATTCCCAGACCCCATGGGGCCACCATCTCTTCCCCAGGTACCACCAGTGCTACCTTTGACCATCTCCTTGGCAAGAAGATGGGGAGCTTTTGGAGTTCTTAAGCGACCATGAGCTCTGAGGGGCTGGGAGAGCACCTGGGTGTCTTTGCTGCTGGCCTGGTGGTCCTGCTGGCAGGTAGGATGCCTCCCCTTGTATCACCCCCCATCATGTAGGAAGAGCTCCTCACCCCACCAAGGGCTCTTCATGATGGTGCTCACCCCTCTGAGTCTTTGCCATTTCTCTGAGCAAAGAATGAGAAATACAAGGGGAACCCAAGGAAATCTGTAGGTCTTCCTGACTCTACCACTGTCCTTGCTTTTCCATCCTGCCCAGTCATGTCTGCCCTGGGCCTCGTGTCATCCAGGGGGGTTGGCCAGTTTTGCTCTTTTTGTCTCCAGGGCTTCTTTCCTTTGGAGTAAAAGGGTCCACCACAGTCCACAAAGCCTTCACAGCTCTCAAGGTGCTTGTCCTGCTCTTCATCACAGTGAGTGGCTTCATCAAAGGCAACCTGAGCAACTGGAAGCTTGGGGAGGATGACCTGCCATGAGCAGCTGCCCATGAGGCTGGGTGTGATGGGATCCACTCTGCCTGTGCTGCTTTCATAGGGTGATGGGGATGGTTGGGTCATCCCCTCATGCTTTATCCCAGGAAATCCCGCTGTCTCCCATTCCTCTCTGCCCTCTTGGCAATGCCTCAAAGATCTAAAGTCCTAAGCCCTGCTGGGTTGATACTGGAGGGGTGAGCAGGTTGGATGGGCTGTTCAGCCTGACCCCATCCTGGGGCCCCATTGCACTGATCCCTCTGCCACCCTGGTCTGTGCTGTGAGCTGGGTGGGCATGGCTGGGCTGCCCTGCCTCTGGGCTGGGGTACCTGCTGCACCACTGCCCTGGCTCTGCCTCTCCGGGGGATCCTGCTGGCAGCTCTGCTCCTCTGGAGGCAACCTCAGAGCTGGGAGAAAGCATCCTTCATGGTGAGCACACAGCCTGGATCTTGGGAACCATCCCCAGGGAGAAGGACCTGGGGGATGGAGAGGAGGGAAGTGCTGCAGCCCCATGGGGAAGGGGTTACGTTGCATCAGGGGTGTTCCCTTTGCTTCAGCTTGGGCAGACCTTTGCTGCATCCATGTTCAACAAAGTGCTGTTGGAGGCACTGGGTAGCTCACAGGGTTTTCTGGAGGGACTGTGAGGGCTTGTTGGGTTCTTCTCCCCATGACTCACAGACCAAGGGGCACCTCCCGCAGCCCTAACTGAGCCCAGTGCTGGCTGCACACATCAGAGCTGCTCTTCAGTGAAAAGAAACCCAGTCCTGACACCCTGGATTGGTTTTGCTAGTGGTTTATTGCCTCCTCCTTAAATCCTGCAACAACTCCTGCCTTAGTGCAGGACCTGTCAACCAAACCACCCTCCATGAGCATCCCTCTCCAGCACAAGCTGCAGTCCCAGAGCCTCACAGCCTGATGGCTGGGCTGGGCTTCCTCTCGCTTGTCAGCAACTAGACAAAGCAGCAAAGAACTCAAGAGGGCTGTGAAACCCCTGCCCGTGGGCTAGCTGGTGCCTCTGGGTGAAGGCATCACCCTGTCTTGTGCTTGGTCCCTGCAGGTTCCCTGCCTGCCCTTCCTGCTGCTCCTCAGCATCACCAGCATCCTGATGGCCCAGCTCAGCACAGCTGCATGGCTGCAGTACCTGCTTTGGATGGCCATCAGTAAGCCCAGCCACCTTTGAGGTACTGGAGTTGGCAACAACCTCTTTGGGTGAAGCATAGGTTGCCTGAGAGCCTGTGGCATTGATGCTGGGTGCAGAGCAGTGGTGGGTGGATGGAGAGATGATGAACTTCAATGTCAAAGGGTAGCGGGAGCACCCCATCCTCTGATGTGTGGCCCAAAGGAGTGGGAACTTTGTGACTGGGAGGGGAAGGAAGAGATGGGACCCCCTGCCCCCCACCCTATTCTGCCCATTCCCAGGTTTCCTCGTTTACTTTGGCTACGGGACCCAGCACAGTGCCAAGAGCTGCCAGCTGGAAGGGGCAGCCCCCCAGGAGCCACCAGGAAGCACAGCCAGGGAGGTGGCCCTGGAGCCCTGTGGGGTGGTGCAGTGCCAATCTGCTCCAGGGCAATAAAAGGTGACAGGCTGGTCCCCAAACCCCTGGCTCCCTGTGCCAGGGGGCAAAGAGGCCCCTTGGGCTGAAGGTCCCATCCCAGGGAGGGGCACAGCCCTGACACGAGCCCTCGAAGCTGTTTTCTCTTGAGTCTGGAGAACCTCCCTGAGCAACCTGAACCCTCATGGCAAGCCCCTGCTGAAGCAGTTTTGTTGAGAGAAGATAAAGCAGACGAGTGTTTTTGCTGCTGTTATTTGGTTGTGTTTTTCTTTTTCTTTTTTTCTTTGCAACCTCTCCCTGCAGCCCCCCAACTTCCCCCTGTCCCCTCACCCACCCTGTCCCTCAGCTGCTCACTGCAGAGCAGTGGAGACTTCTCATGCTGCACTGACCCTCAACGCTGCCTCGACACCCCCTGTGACCACCAAGGCACTTACTGTGGTTAAGTCCTATTCTGGACTCATTTATTCCTCCTCCTCGGTTCCCAGCACTCCCCTTTCCCAGAGCTGGGCACATTCCTCTGGGTCCCACGCAGGATGTGCCTTCGTGGGAGCAGGATGCAGTACCAGGTGCCCAGAGCAGGATCACTGACGCTACCAGCCTCATCTCCCTTTGCCCAGCCATCCTCCCCCCTTCAACTACAGCCAGGTAGGATTTGCTGGGGCAGCAGCTTGCCCCATGCCCCCTGCTTTGGTGCCACAGCACCTGGTGTGTCCCTCCACGTCCCTGAGGTTGCCCTGCCACTTGTCCCCAGAGCCGTGAGGATGCACAGAGCAGTGGGTGCCCTAGGGGGACACTTCTAAAACAACAGGCACCCTCATTTCCCACTCTGGGCACCCCGTGGTGGTGCTTGGGTAAGAGCTGGACCCCACATCCATGTTGCCTTCCTGGCTGCCTCGTTCAGCTGCTGTTTTCCCGATAAGAATGAGCACAAAGGACGGAAGCGGCTGTTGCAGGAGGGTCGGGGTCCACCCTGTGCTGGGAGCTCATTGAAATGAATGAAATGAGGGAAGCAGCAGGAAAAGGGGGACCAGCAGTGGGGGTCTCCTCTTGTTGTGGCTTTGTGGTGCCTTCCCTAGGTGTGGGGCACATGGCCCTGCTGTGAGATGCTCCTGCACAGGTCCCCAAAATCCCCCAAGACATGGAATTCTTGAGGCTGCTGCTTCTTACAGGCTTGTGCTTGTTCCAGCCAGCAGCAGGTTGGCCTGGTGCACACACATACACCCACACCCCAGCTAAACAGCTCTGGGGAGGGGACAGGGCAGTGACTGTCCCACCACACTTGTGCACCCAGAGGAAAGTGCTTGTGTGCATCCAGCCCTGACCCCCAACTGTGCTGGCAGCACCTTCCCCCATGGGGATGTGGTTGCTCAGAGCAGGGAAGGATATGACCTGCTGGAAGCCTGTTACCCCTCGGGATGTTGCTCTGCTTCCCAGATGTCCACCTCCAGGCATGCAGCCTCTGCCCAGTGCTGAGGAAGAAGATGGGGTTGGTGGTGATGCTGATGGGCAGTAGGGACAAGGAGGGGTAGGTGGCAGTGGCATGCTGGGGCTGCAGGAGCGATCCCTGGGAGCTGTTTGGTGAAGATGGAGGAGGTGATGGGGAGGGGAGGGCATGGGTGGGAGCCCTGCCTGGCCCCCTTCCCCTGGGAGTGAGGCAGGTCCCAGGCAGGTGAAGCCCTGCTTTCACTGGAAACAGCAGGAGTGGGTGGCCAAGCCCTGAAATGGGACAGGCTGACATGGTCTATAGCAAGGGCAGTGCTGGAGGTGGCAGATAGACCCAGCTGCACCCGTCCCTCCTGCCCTGTGAAAGCTCCCGTGGCTCAGCCCTGTGCTTGGTGACCTGCTTCCCAGGGAGTGAGGTACCTGCACTCCACCATGTCCCCAGCTCCTTCCTCATCCTCCTGGTGCTTTTCCCCATCCCATTGATGGCTTCATCTTCCTCACCTCAGGCCCCCCGGCAGCACTGGTGCTGGTTATGCTCAGAGCCAAGCGCTGGGTCGGATCCAGCCCAATGCACATCTGCGTGTCCTGGCTGACCCCTTTTACCCCCAGAAACCCCCCCACCACCTCCCACCAGAGGAAGGGGTGCAGGGATGGCTCGGGGGGTCTGACAGGGTCCCCCTGTGGCCCCACATGGGCTGGGGAAA